TTTTCAGGTGCTGTGGCTAATGAGCCTTGGTTTTCTGGCACTGTAATATCTTTATTTAGCCTTCTGCTCTGCCTTCGTCCTTCTTTCCTCACCACTGGTTTGGCCTCAGCCTTTTGTGAAACTTCTGACTTGAGCTCATCCAGAACAGTAGCAGGTTTAGTCAGACTTTCTGTTTCAGGTACACAGTCCATTACGTTATTAGAGAGTTCGTTAGCAACTCTTGTGCTTCTACGTGTCACTTGTTTAACCTCAGAACCCTGCAGTGGTGCTGCTTTCTTTTTCTTTAAGTCTTTTGAGTTCAGTTTCTGCTCTACAGATCCACTGACCAGGTCCTTAACCTTGGTCAGTTCCTTCTCTTTTGATTTTTGGTCATCAACTACAACTTTGGCAGTAGTCTGACTAACAGGCTCCGCTATCTTGACAGCAGATCTCCCACGCCTCCTTGTAGGTATGGTCGGCACTCCTTTGTCCCCAGTGTTGAGTTCATTGTCATAAGACTCGGTTTTTAGCTTGATGTGAGCGCTTAAAATCTGATCACCCTGAATGTCCTTAACATCGGGCTGGTCCTGCACATCTTTCAGTTTTAACTTTTTATCTGCTTTTTTCTGGGGCTCCTTTATATTTTTCACTTTCTTTTTGGCCACCAACTTTATTGTAATCCTCGGTGCAGCTGCTGAAGCTCTGCTCTTGACTGACCCTTGGTCCATAGTGTTTTTTCCTTTTGAAGTTTTCTTTGAATCCTTCACTGGTTTTGTTTCAAGAGATATGTTGTCCATTTCCTCCAGAGCTTTCACATCTTTTACAGGATCAGGTGGGACAGCCTCATCAACTGCTGGCACTTTTTGTGGTGGCTTCTCACTTTTTCTCCTAGATTTTGTGCTGACAGCATTTACTGCAAAAAAGTAAATCAATAAATAAAATTATATTTCTTATAAAAAATATAATTGATCTCACATATACTTCATTTCTGCTGCACAGTTTTAAATTTCAAAACGGTTTACCTTTGGAAGAATTTTTTTGCGACATCACAGATTCTGCAGTGTTTCTTTTGTCAGCTTCAAATCCTTTGAAGTCGTCACCCTTTACAAAAAATAATAAAAATGATTAATTGCCCACATACACTTAACAATGAGGCACAGGCAACAATTAAACAAACACCAAATGTAGTTTTACAAAGGAACAAAGCTACAATTCAGATAATTAAAACCAACATTTTCAGGACCACTAGTATTATTTTCCTGATGGAATGCTCACGTTTTGTCTGCCTGTTCACACAAAGGGAGGGCATATTAATGTGAAACATAATGTATGTTTAATCAGTACACCAAACCAACCAATCTGGATGGAAACCTTACTCCGTCAGATCATAAGTTCTAGGTCAAACTAAGACAATCAAAAATGGAGATTAAAAAGGTTTGCAAATAATCCCAAAAATTGTCCAAATTCAAATACTGAAACATTCTTTAAGTTTCGTTTTTGACTATATCTCATTTTCTTTGCAGCTAAACTACAAATTCACTCAATTTTAAATTTATTGGTGCCCTTAATACACTCACCTGAAAGTGTATTGAGGGCAGATCAGATGCTGAAACTCATAGAAAGCAACGTGGATATTTTCAGTGGCTAAAAAAGTAAAGATTGCATATTTTTCTAATATTGTGCAGATTTAATATCTACAACAAAAATAAGCACTACATTTTTCAGGAAGCAGCTCATTAGTCAAGTAGTCTAAGTAGTGTCTCCTTGATAAACCCATTATAACAGATTCTAAGAAAGTCATACTTCTCTATGCAATCAGTTGGACTACATTTTAGATGTTTTGCACCTGCAGAACTATGTTCTTGCATGTGCAGCAGACAGAGTTGTTAGTATTCTAAAAAATACACTCAGATGTAATCTATGAAACATGGACGCAAGGGAGAAAAAAAGGTTATAAAAAAGATTTTGATTCAACACAACTGAGTACATTTATGTCCATAACCATTACAGTTACAGAAATAGGATCCATGTCTCTGTGAACGCTACAGCATAACTATTGAACGGCTATTATAGTTAAATATTTTATTTCAAGGTAATAAGGTTGGTATTACACATTTAATAATGTGTTTATGAAAAATACAGAACTATGATTGAGTTAAAAATAGGCTTTAGGAGTTTGAATTAAGAAACATAAGCATACAGGCTGGAACAGTGTATTATTGTATGCAGCTGTCATTTTCTATCACTGCAACATCTTTTCTTTGCAATAAATAAATATACACGTACATAAAAAAGCAGTTCATACCATGAAATCAGACTTAAAAGTTTTACTAATACCACATAATCAGTGACCACGGGGGAAATAATTCAAATTAATGCGATAGTCAAGGTCTACATCATGTTTACAATCCAATGCAAACTCAGAGCTCTGCGTTAAGTAAAACCCATGCTTTAGTTAATGACGGTCACGCCTTCGCTGATGTTATAACAGCTACAACGAAAAGTTCGTCTGTAATCAGCAACTCCCTCCAAACACTTACAATGTTCTTTCTACCTGCAGTTGGGTCTTGAATAAGATCTAATAAATAAGGACCACTCACTATTAGTTGCGTTTCAGCCCTTAAATGTGTGAGACCAACATGTGTGACAGTGACTTCGGCACACTTCTGGAGACCCTTTTAAACATGCCCTGTTTGCTAACCTTGGCTAATAGCTAGCTAACCCGAAACGATTTACTCCCTTGTGACAGTTAAGGAGCTTTATAGCCACAATATAAAATGTTATGTAACTGTTTATATGCACTTTATACTTTGCCAAACACAAGACGTGTCTTATTTAACCAGACGTTAGAAAAGCATTTAGCAAACATAGTTAGCGGCTACTCTCTGCAGAGTACGAAGGCGCTAGCCTTCCTGCTCTTTGTGTTGGCTATTAGCAGGCTAGCAGATATTATGGCCCTGTAACGAAAGGGCCATACGTAGAATAACTGCGGCGCATGTTTACAAGTGCCCAGTCTGCATTTAAAAATATTAAGGTTATCAATTTTTTACCTTTATTTTTTTTTATTCTTGGAGATCAACTCGGAGTTCCATGCTAATGTGACTTTAAAAAGATCTGCTGACAGAATTAAAGTGGCATTTTGTGTTTGGAGTGTTCAAATGGACAGCTCAACTATGCTAACACTGGTGATACCGTTTAGCTTGAAGCTAAAGTTAACGTTAGCCTGCCAATGGGATGTTGACATTTCTCAATGGCACTAAGCAGTCATACAGCCGTGGAAAGCACTCATTCTTGCGCATACACCGATCACACTAAATGCGTCAATTTTGAATACATAACCCACTTCCTTAATGTGTATGGGACCTTACCTCTTCACTTCCACTAGAGCTATATCCAGCCTGGCCGAGGATCTTGTGGCTTGCCTCTATCCCGAGTAGACGCAAGTGCGACTGGTCTTCATTTAACGAAAGAGCCAGGTTTGCGGGCCTTGGCCCTCCGTTAGTCACATCATCAGCTTCTGAGCTTGATCGCCCGAGTTGCCATCGCTTCTCAGAGCGCAAACGACTGCGCGAAGACCAAGGCCGACCGGGGAAACGACCTCTGGCCGTAGCAGTTCCACCTTGGCCTCCTACGGCAGCCGCGGTTGCTGATCCGCATCCCGCTGCCGCCGCCATCATTGCTTCAACAACAACACACCGACGGCTAGCACTTCGAGGGGGAGACAAGAGGGAAGGCGCGAGATGGGAGGGGGAGCCGCAATGATACAAGGGAAACTGAGTTTTTTTGTTGTTTTGTTTTGGGGGGTTCACTTAGTGGAGCATCAATGGCATTTACAATATCCATCTGAATTGAACAACTTCGTTAGCTCCAATGGAAATTTAAAATACTGATACAGTAAAATAAAATACTGAAGCATTAACATTTTAAATGGTTCAGATGTAACCTACTTTTTCAGTGGAGGTAAACGATTTTAGAAGCTTGCGTACAGTAATTAATCCAATAAAACTGATAAATGATTAAATAAAAATATAGTAATGAGAAAATGACCGATAAAGCTGTTGTTTACACAATTTCTTTTGTGAGATTAAAACATAACTTCATTGTTGTCTTACCATCGCAGCACAGCAGATGGCTGTATGCTGCATATTTTATACCAAAAATAGAGGAATATTGAAGAGGTGCATTTCTGTAAATTAGAATATCATAAAAATTTAATTCAATTATTTAATTCAATTTAAAATGCAAAGCTAATATTTGTGTATGGATTAACTACACACAGAGTGATTCTCTTCAGGCGGTATTTTAAAAAAAAAATTATAAGTGTCAAGTAGTGAAAACCAAAATACAGTTTCTCATCAGATTAATTAAAACCAAATGACTGGATTTTTTTGGCCCTATAATGACATAAACACTTATGGGAAAACCTGAACTGACAGTTGTCACAAAAGGTTATTGACATTTTCCTCAAGTAGTTCACTGTTTACTTTTTATATTTGATTTACTTCAGTTTTTTATGCCTGTCAAAAATAGTTATGCTCTTGTATTGTTCAATGAAAAAGCTGCATTTGACTCTAAGACAAGAAATTGTTAAATTGTCTTCAAAGTATATAAACTATGTTTAAATGAACGAACAATTCATAAATTAAACGTTTGTCCTCCTTCCAGGACAGGACAGAACAGTCATGAGTCTCAGACCCTCAATATGTAGTATTTGGGTAAATATGTGACATTCCAGGTTGATCGGAATTTCAATCAAAAAGATTTGAAAATTAAAATTTTGTGGAGAATGTATGAAATGGTATACTAGATGTAAAACGTTTTTGAAAGACAAAATATGTTTTTCCCCCTCTACATTTAAAATAAAGAATCGAGTCTCCAAAAGTTTATGTTTTTCTCCCCTTAAGGGTATTTGACATTTTCTCATTATATTTATAAATTTGGGAACAAACCTTCATTGTGCGTGTGTCTAATTCGTCTGTACACTAGGTGGCAGTATTAATTCTAAGACTGACTTGTGACTACTGGAAACAGAAGAAAGGTAAAAACGACGAAGAAGAGGGGATTGAGGAAGCGTTTATTTACTCGGTTCTCATTTTCAAGAATCAGCTTTGAAGACTGTAGGTATGACAGGACGCCATTATACAAATATTGTCAATGTATGTTTAACATGATTTAAAAGATGTTGCAGAAAGTGAATTATGGCAGTTTTTACGAAGGTGGTGTAACTGTTAGCAAAATGCTAACGTTGCCTGAGGCTATTTCAAGTCACCTGACAGCGGTTTAGTACATTTATAAATAAGGTTCTCCAGTATGTTTACCTCGCTCAAGGCCTTTGATAAAGTTGGTTTGCTTTGCTAATTCAGTGGCTAGTCATCTTTTAAACGTAGCTAATTTTGCCATGTTCCGTTTTCTCACGTTTATGTACCAAAGTGGAGCTAGCTCTAAACATCTCGGAATTTTGTTTCTTCCTTCAGCAGGGCCACTGAGCGTTTACCATGAACCTGGAACGACTTCCCAACGAAGAGAAACTCACCCTTTGTAGGAAATATTACTTGGGTAAGAAATATTTGAAAGGAATGCAAGCAGCTTTAGTTGTCAATATATTTTGCAGTTGTAATTGCTATAATCTCGTTATGGAGCCTAAACATGGAAACAGGAAGGGTGGATTACATATTAAGTCCAGGAGTCATAGCATGATTTGGTTTCCTATACCTTTACATACTTGTGTTTTCTTGTGTTTTCAGGTGGTTTTGCTCTTCTTCCTTTCCTGTGGCTTGTAAACGTTGTTTGGTTTTTTAAGGAAGCCTTTATGAAGCCGCCCTTCACTGAACAGACCCAAATTAAGACGTGTAAGTTTCATGGACATTTTGGTGCAGAGTAATTCAAATGAACTAAAATTTAGTTAAATGCGTAAAAACATATTAATAGGTATTTTTGCAAAAGTTTTACAATGGGTTATTTCTTAAAAAATAAAACAAAACAAAAAAACCTAAAAGAATATTGAAACAACTTTTGAATGATATTAAGATCATGCATCTCGGTTCAAAATTGAGATCACTACATAACTTTAGATTCACGTTGAAACCTCTCAAAAGATCCAAAAAAATCAACATGTGAAGCCAGATCTATACCTCTAAGCAGTGTAAACAGCCTCTGTGTCCTGTTTGTTGCAGCAAATCATCATATCACTGTTAAAAGCAGTAATAAGATATTCGACTATGGAACAAAAATATGTTCAGTATTTTTTTTTTCAAATGAACATGACTGTTAGTCCTAATATCAGAATAAAAGTTATTATATTTTTGTCAACTTGTGATTTTGCATAGACGAATAACGTGTGAGCACACAAAGAAAATCACTAGATTTTTATTTTGTAAATAATAACCCTAAATAATTGCAAGGCTTGGTTTATTTGAATGAATTACTACCAGACACACTTGTAGTAACATGCATACTTTTTACCGATGCTAGTCCATTGATGACGGCTTCTTGATTTTCTTTCTTATTTTAATCATGCGTGGACTAGTGGTCAGAGTAATCAATCTTAAAAGCTTTCTTTCAATTTTTATGCCTCAATGCCAAAAAGTGTCCAGGGTAGATGATGTACATTGCAAGTTTTAAATTAAAATATTTTCTCATTTTCTTTTCCAGATGTGAAGCGATCAGCAGTGGGTTTGTTGTTTTGGGTCACAGTACTGACGACATGGATCACAATTTACCAACACTTCAGAGCACAGTGGGGGGAAGTGGGAGATTACCTTTCGTTCACAATTCCACTGGGCACGCCTTGAGACGTTTGACCTCCAACCATCCTGGACCAAAGAATTTTAAGAAGAATAAGAAATTGGTCTTTGTAAAATTTATTACCTATAAATTGTTGATACTGTAGACCTCACACTTTTCTGTATGTTTTTAGTTTAGAGCCTTTTTTTTCTTTTTAGTATGAGCTAACGGTGTGTTGTCAGTGGATATGCATTCAGATTTGTTTAGGTGAGAAAACTGATCTGATTTCACTGCTTTTTTTTCTTTTTCTAAAATGTTGCTAAATGACCTTGTGCACTCAAGGTGATTTTTACTTTCTGACCAATAAATACCCTTAATCTATAATGTCTTTTAAATTGTGTGTAAATGTTAAGGTGGGATTGTGACTTTCTTCTATAAAAGCCACAATTTTAAATAAATAAAAAAGGGATTGTGGGACATAGTTACTATAAAGTCATAACTATGAGGGAAAAAATAGTAAATTTGACTTTGAGAATTGAGTTACAATGTCATTTTGATTTTTACTGTCAGCCATTTGTGATATGCAGTGTCAAATTGTCAACTTTGAATCATAATTGAAATAAAATGTATCAATAATTTTCAGTTATAATTACCAGATCTAGAGTAGTCATCAATTCAGGTTTTAATGCTGCAAGTTGCATCATAACTGTGACTTTGAAAATCTTAAGGTATATCTCTAAAACGGTGTTTTTAGGGAAGGTAGGCATCTTGCCTACCTTTATGATACACTTCTTTCTGCACCTATGAGCCTATTTTTTACTTTTCCTCATTGTGACATGCCTCTCAGACAACCAGTGGCGCCTGTTATGAAACTCAATAACTTAATCCCTCCAAATGTCCCCTCTTGGCCATCATCCTGTATGAGTCATAGCATAATCAGGGCCACTTTTAGTCGCAGTCAAAGCTTAGGTACCAGGTTTAGCATGGTGAGCAGGGAGAACATGTGCACATAACTGCTACATGTGTGAAGAACTGAGAATCCAGACGAGGTGCCACCCAATGAAACTGGCTTGTGGAAGCATTTTATTTTACAGTGCTGCACTGCTTATTTAAGACATTTAAATTACCATATATCTTCACGATACACAATTAGCAGCTTTTAGGATATTCCTGGAAATGTGTTAATATTTTTAAGACACTTGATCAACTTAATACTTCCCATCCTGTTATATAACAGGTGATTGATGATGTGTCAGGTACAGAACGCGTGCTTCTGCATGTGTCTGGGACCCCCTCTTCTTTTGAACTTATTTTTAGAAGGATCCTCCCCAACAACCAACTTATCCCACAGTTGTTCTGACGACTACACATCAGTAACAAGTTTGTATTCATGTCATCGGCTCACTAAAGAAGGGCTGCAACAAACACTTTAATTGACAATAAGCCAGCAACAGCTGTGTCATTCCCAAAACATATGCTCATCTGTGGGTAGACTGGACACCCAAGGGTACACAATCTGGAATGTGACATAGGCAAGGTGGCTCAGTATGAATGCCCAAGCCATTATGCAACTGCAGTATAAAAGAGCCTGTGACAGTCAGTCACGTTCAGCATGGTCAGAGAAGGGATAGTGGAATCGAACAGATTGTTCCTCCTCCTCAGGATAAGTGGGAACGTACCACCAGAGGCTGGCCTTTCTCTTTCTGTTCACTTGTTTGATCAGAGAATATATAAGTGAAGGTAAGCTGCTCCTCTCTGAGCATTCATTGCGCTCTATGGAATTCTTTTGATTGTACTTTTAAATGTTTTTTTCTTTTTTGCTTGTTAGACATGGATTTTATTGTGCCTCCCACTGAAACAGCTGGTGGTATTCCATGGGAGAAGATCTTACCTCCTCGACTGAACGGGTCTAAAGGCTATTATAACTGGTCGCCATCATTACTGATTCCAGAGACTGAGAGTGTCAGCTCTGCAGAGGTAGGTCATTTCTTTAATCTAGAGTTAAAGAGCCAAATGCTTAATAACACTTCAGTCGAGCATAAAATGTTACCAAAACAATGACCAGCCCATTTTTAAATCAAATCTCAGTTTCAATTGAACACATCTTGTATTTCTTTTCATTAAACAGAGACGACTGAGGCAGTGAAATGCCCTCAAAAAATATTTCCCTTTTGTTTACACCATGCATGCTCAAATACATCAAATTCACACAAAATTCATCAAAGGAAATATGTATTTTTTGTGTATTCGCAATAATCATTACCCTTTTCGAAAACATCATACATTATTTCAACTTGTGTTGACAGGTCTACTGTGATGAGATCAGATTTACAGTTCAAGTAGACGTGAAGCATTTCAACCCCGAGGACCTGCTGGTCAAAGTTGTGGGGGACTTTGTAGAAGTGCAAGGACAACACAAAGAGCTGAAGGTCTGTTTACCAAGAGGAACACATCTTTTTTTTAATCTAATTTTGATTGTATGGGTTAAAGGACATTCCCTTGTGCACCTAATAAGAGAACATGACAAGTAACATGGTTTGCACACATTCTTCATGAGATCCTTCTTTAACTAACACAAATGAAAGAAGGAAGAAATGAGGTAAGGAATGAATGACAATGCAGGGAAGAAAAAGGTAGAAAGGAAATATGGAAGGCTAAAAAAGAAAGTAAAGTTGAAAGGAAGAATTGGAGAAGATAAAGAAGGAAAACACAGTGAAGAGGAAGGATAGAGGAAAAAGGGAAAATATGAAGGACAGAAGGATACGAGGAGTAAAGGTTGCCAAGACAACCTTTTTACAGATGGGATGTAGAATATCTGAAAACAAATTTTCTCCACACTTTTAGTCCCTTAACCTCTCTTACCAGACCTGGAAAAATACTACAATGAAAATAATTTCATTTTACCATGTTTTTGTTCAGAGTGTATTGGGAGCCCTAACGTAATCTTCTAACCAGAACAAAACGTAAAACGACTGATTTATTCTTTAAACTTGTGTTCAACTGTCTCCTGGCAGAAGGAGGGCCACGGCTTCACAACACTGCAGTTTAACCGCCGCTACCGAATCCCAAAGGGCGTGAACATCATGGCGCTGGAGTCAGCCGTCTCCCCGGAAGGCATTCTCATCATATCAGCCCCAATGCTGCAGATCGAAGGCACCAGATGCCTGACTTAACACAGAGGCCTCTCTCATCTTCGCCATATAAGAAAATAAAACAGCAGCCTTTATAAACACTGAGATACAAAGCAGATTTTCTCCCAACAGCACACAGCGTACCAAAACACCCATCTGTTTTGTTTTATCCAACCTCCTGGCACTGTTCTGATATTCCCCGCTCTTTGTGGTTTGTATATAAAGTACTCCTCTGGTGTTGCTCATCGATCGTCCACAGTATTTCAACAAACACCTCTCTGTAAATATTCCTAACTCACTGTTGAAGCTGCTATACCTTTGAGCAACATTTGTAAATGCACAATATTGTGATTGTAATTAATGCATATAGACATATTCCAAACTGTATGTTGAAATATTATCAAATAAATAAACTTTATTTCAATATGAAACTACAAAAAAAAAAAAAAAAATAAACTGTCTGATTTGTTCAAGCCACTGCTTGTCCCTCCTGGAATTCATTCAGCTTCACGTCCACCTCTCTGAAAGAAGAAAAAGGAAAGATCAACTTCACAGTGTCAATCTAATGAAATTAATAAAAATTCAAACATATCGAAAATATCAAGTCAGAAATTTAAGGCCATAAAAAAGTAAACTGATTAAATTATGGCTTTTTTAAAATCTACCTTATCTGATCTTTCACCCATTTTCTCTGTTGGCGGAGAACTTGCAACAGGGGGTCATCTTCAAACTCTTTTCCATCAGAATCTGACACAAAATCCAAATGTAGAGAAAAACATTTTATGCTACAGGCAGGAGTTGTAAAGCAGTATTGGAATATAAATATTTCTTAGTTATTGCCTGGACTGCAATCAAGCCACAGGATTACCTTCAGCCTCTTGAAGCAGCTGTGAAATGACCTGCATCGAGCTCTGTGTAACATTTAAAGGAACTGGGGACCCTGAAGTTGAGGAGATGTTTTTAGGAGTAGAAACAGATGAAACTGGAGTTTTCTGAGCCACCGTAGGGAACAAAACCTCCGAAACTACCTGTTAAAAGTCCACCAAGAACAATACTTGATTCAGATTGCAAGTTGTAGTGTCAGTACACTAAACCACAAGATTTATTTTACAATGAACATACTACAATGTGTTCTAGTGTACAAATTTATCATTAACTGATGAGCGATGAAGGTGCTCTAAATATGCAACCTGCCCCCCCATTTTCAGGACAGGCAAGTATGCATGTAAGTAAAAGCAGAACTTGAACTGAGATTGTGTGTTAGTAAGAATTAAAATAATTCTCAGCATGCACATTTACTCACCTGTCCTAAGGCAGTGTGAACTGGAGAGGACGGTGGTCCATGAACCCCACTGCAGCTTTCCTTTGGAACCGCCTTGCCTTCATCATGATGATGATGCTTTTTTGCTGATGTGTTTTTTGGGTTGCACGAATTTGAACAATCCCTGATTGAACAGCAACCACAGTAAACATGTTAACCAGCTAAAAACAAATGCATTCATATTTTATTATACAAGTGGACTTTAATCCCTTAGAATATCTGTGAAAAGCTGATGAATTTCAGCGAATCAATTGAAAAGTAAAACTTGTACTATATTAACTGTTATGTTGAAACTTTTAAAAACAGAAAAGGTCCATTAATGAGCACAGTATGCTTTAAAATGTCACTGCTAAACAAGCTTGTCATTCACAGAATGTTGTATACAAAGATATTAATGGAAGATTGAGCAGAAAGAAAAACTGAATGACCAACTAAGACTTTGAAGAACTAATAATTCAAGCAAAAAAATAAATAAATAATTGTAGCAAAGACAATGTATTGAAAACATGGACATTCTTTTCAGAAGGATTCACTTCTGTTTAAAAAAGCAAATGGTAATTTTGAGAAACAGTTGTTTTTATTTTGCCACAAGCCATTAATCTAACAATTTAATTAATATATATATGAGCTTGACTTTTAGAGCAGAGTTACAGTAATAATTGAACTTTTAGAAGATATTCAGGTTTACTGAGCTACACCTGTAATAAGCTGTTCATATTTCACCTCACAGCTTTCCTCTGCTGCCTGGAAGGTATCGCTGTCTTCTGGTCAGACTCTTTTGTCACTTGTTTCTTCTTCTTCTTCTTATGGAGTATTTTTTGCTGACTAGGACCATCTCCTTTTATGTTTCCAGAGGATGCAGGCCCCTCACTGTTGGTTCTCAATAAGCTTTCTGAGACTTGGGTTTCTCTGTGGACAGCTTTGGTTTGGGGCTCAGGCAGCTTCTGTGAAATGCTTTGCTCATCATTAGCAAGAGTTGGCTGGTTGGGGCAGGGAAGGACATCACAGAATAAGTGCATGTAAGCAGGAATATGGGAAAGAGTCTGGGTTTGAGACATCAAAGAAGAAGAGGGAACAGCAGCAGTAAGGAAGCATGGAGGACTTGGAGCTGCAGCACCTCGTCTGTGGGCCTCAGTGGTTTCTGCTTGGGAAGTGGTCATGTGTGGATGAGCGTCGCTTTCTGAGAAGCGAGGAGGCTGGGAGCTCTGTTGCTGCTACAAAATTATACAACAAGGATTATAATCATGCTATTTTGTGATTGACATAAAACAAATATGCACTTTTAAAATCCAACCTTGTAAGCTTCTCCACTGACTGATGCATGGACCAAACTGGGGGCTTGCCAGCTGAAAGCAGAATCATGAAGTCCTGATTGCTTCATGGTTGTGGGCCACCCTCTAGCCTGCTCCATCTTTCTCCGTAATCGCCACTGGAACAAAATATCGTCCTCTGGGCGAGTGGGGGGTGTCGTGGTGGGCATGACATATTTCTGAGAGGGGACAGCAGCAGCTGGGTCTGGACAGATCGTCACTGTAAACACAAAAAGCACAGCCATAATGTTTGTAGTAACAAACACAAGACAGAGTACGGTTTCTTGCATCGACAATGACTAAAGCTGGAAATTAATGGCTGCATTCAAAGATGTATTTCACGTTATTTGCCTCACCATTAGCTGATTTCATCAAACTGGGAATCAAAGGATGTCGCACTGGCTCATCCACACTGATGGGAGGGGAGAAATTGGAGCAACCGAGGCCATCTGGACTAACAGCAATGGACCCATCACCCGGACTACATTCGCTATTGGAAAGATAACAGTTATATTTCAACTCAAGAACACTAACCACTTATCAGTAACGCTAGATAATGCACTACACACCCTCTCAGTAGAAGTCTGCTTGCTCTTTCTTGAAGGTTTATTAATTCTGTGTAATCATATTCCCCCTGAGAGCCGTCAGACCCAACCTAGGGAACAAAGAAAGTTGATTAGCCCTAAACAACAGAGAGAATGAATACAAATGCAATATAGCATTTTAGGAAAAACTAAATAATAAATCTCAGGAAGCAAATTATCTGGCTTTCTAAGAAATGTTCTGGTAATTTTTGAAGTCAGTTTTAGAAACTATAGATTTGACAACAGCATATACAACTAAGGCAGATTTAAATTAGAATAGACGGGTGTATATGTCATTATTTCCATCACACTTGCATTAAAGGAGAGAGACAAAATTCAGACAAATTTCCCTTTTATTGATTCCAATCAGTGATCCTGTAGGTTAAATGTTAATTTTAAAAAAATAATTATTATTCATTAAAAGGTTCCAAAACTAAGAACAGTCACCATTTTTGGTATTTAAAGGCATAATAGACAACGTGTGTCAACAACAAACTGCAGTACACCTATTTTTTTCTGTCCAGATGGTTAAGCAAATCTGGTTTCACAGTGTTTAATTTGAGTTAACTTATTAATGCACTCACATTTAAGAACGTGTCATTTTGAGGCGCCGCATCTAGACTGTCAGTGGTAGAATCATGGCCGTCTTTCAGGGACAGGGAACATCCATTCATTGAAAAGAAACATATATTTGTTAGAGAAAGAAAGAGCAAACATTGCAAGTTCATGGTTTATCCACATAAATACACCAACAGAGAGTGTACCTTTGTCTAGTGACTTAGCTGGGTTTGAACTCGGGACTGATGAATGGGTCATCCACCAAAACGGGATCTGTTCCCCCCCATCAGTAGAAATCATCTGTCTGCGGTCTGCTCGACTCTGAGGCCGACCATGACGAAAACGTTCTATGTATCTGTGAAAGTATGTATTAGTACTTCCCAAAGCAAAAATATGTATGTGTATATACCTCAAACCTCAAAGGGGATTCTCCTTCAGCAGAGATAAGGAAGCTTCTGATTTGAATTGACAGTGAGATGGATTGTGCTCAATGATGAGCAAGTCAGGAAGATAGTCTGTCAGAGGATGTAGAAGATTTTGAAGCAGGTGTGAACATTCACCTTCCATAAGAAAATGACCCGACTCCCAATCCAATTTGACTGAGTTATTTCCAAAGATGAACAAGGAAAAAAATTTGTCACCATGTGTACAAAGCTATTAGAGAAATGTGTCAATGGACTAGCAGCTGTTATTATTGCAAAAAAAAACATTGTTTTACATATTTCTGTGAAATTGAGAAATGCCACTCTTTCTTGATTTTTATTTGTAAACCCTTTTTCTCCCACTTCACAGTTAAGATCTCATTTATGCAGGTCTAGCACATAAGTTCATACAAAATACACATGTAATAATATGAAAAATGTGAAAAATTTGAGGACTATGAAAACATCTGTAAGGCACTGTATTAGGAAAACAATGGGAAACATACTTTGCCAGTACAGAATCCTCCTTCACTCCAGATGGAACTGTGGATGTCTCTAATTTTGCAGAGAGTTTGTCTGGTAACATTTCAGGGACGTCAGCATTACCATCAGGAGATGATCCACATTCGGTAGAGGGCCAGATCTCGGTAAATACATGTTGTCCATCACTGGCAGGAAAATCATGATTTTCATACAGCTGTTGGCTTTCCCGGTTTGGAGAGCGAGAAGGACTATTAGAAGTCTGATGTAAACGAACAGGACTTATAGTCTGTAAAAAAAAAAAAAATTGTGAGACATTGTATTAGTAAATCTACTCAATTAGAAATCAATTAAATTACATTTTAATTCGATCTTAATTAGAATACAACAGTCGATGTATTATCCAAATCGACAAAATATATCTAGTTAAGGCAGCCTTGTGGATGACAACATAAGATTAAACCTTTTGTTTTTGAGCGAACAAAAGATTAAGTTCTCCACACATCCTGCAAAATGATGCAGGATGAGCTGCAAATGATGAGATCGAGGGGTTTTAAGGTCCAGTCTGCAAATTAATTGTGTGTATTTAAACATACAATTTTCTTCTCTTTTTTTGTCAGGGACTTCTTGAGTGATGGGTAGTAGTGTGCCCTCGTCTTCACCGTGGATACAGGTGGGAATGGATTCTGCTTCGTAAACAGTGGTCCGCTAAAATGCAAGAAAATTTTACTTACTGTAATTTCTAATTACAAAAGTCCAAATGTGCCCATTGCTCCTTACCTGGATTTCATAGCAACGTCAAGATGCCACAGTTTAGTTAACAGTTAGCGTATCACCAACACAAATTGAGGTCAGTATAAAAAAAATATTGATTTGCGATTCTACATGCCACTTTTTCAGCGCATGTTTGACCTTGTCCTCAATAGTTACCATGGAAGCAAACGCAGGATGGAACGAAATAGCTCATGTTACTACACACAGCACGTGAAAGACCTGCTTAACGTCAAATACGATCTTAAACAGAAAACATCACTTAAAAACAATCTGTTTTTTGTTAAACTATCAGAAGCTTCTCGAGTCTGTCGATATAAGCACAAGACATGTTTACTTTTACGTTTGTTCACTCACCAGCCAATAGAGGACGAATAAAAAATGATTGACCTATGAGTTGTCCAATCACAGATGATACATTGTTTACACAGGCACCAATCGGGTGATTGGAGACCTGCAGCGCGCGGAAGAGGAAAGCCAGCTTCGAGCTTGTCAAAAACAAGCTAACTTAGCAACGGTAGTTGAGCTAGTACCTTTTATTCTCCGAAACAGTAATTAAACGAAGTAAGGTACTTATTGGTAATAATATGTAATTATTTTAGAGCTACTAGAACAATACATTTTTAGTATAAGTATCCGTATTTAGAATTTAGATTTTGGACTCCCTTCAACAGTTTATGTAGGCTAATGAAGAAGGGTGGCTAACTGGCTGAACAACTAACCGTAGCTAACTGGCTAACGTTGCTGTTACCGAGCAATCAACAAGAGGTCGTTGTTAGCTCAAAGACCCCGTACACCTCTGTTAGAGGTACAAAACGGCTGTTTAAAGTCTGTTTTCTGAGCAGCCCGTGGGAGTAAACTGAACAAAATGCACCACGTCAAGATAAAAACAGAAAGACCAGGTAAGACATTCATAGTTATGAGACTTAATAAAGTTGCCACCAATCACAAAATAAAGTACTTCGGAAATTATGTTTTGTATTTTACATTATAGTATTAAAATTACTTAACAGGATTTGTGTTTTCGACATGAAGTGTAGAAAACATGGGAAAACTAAAATTGTACATTTACATTTATTTTGCATCTATGCTAATATCGTAATTAAAAAACCTCATCCCTTTCTAAGTCTTGTTGATTACTGTTTTATGAATAATTTTGCTTCTTTAGATTTGGAGAGCACAGGTGCTCGCGGCAGGTTGGATGCTGTGCTAAAGGGTCTCGTAGAAAAGAGTGAAAATGAAAGGTTTGCAAAATGTTGCTTATAATCAATACATTAATTATCACAAACTTTTGATGCTAACAGTTGTTCTGCACTTTAAACAGAGAACCAAATGAAGACCCAGGAAAGTTGTCAGTGGATGCTTTAAACAAGTATGGACTAGTATTAATTTATTCTTTCACTTTATTAAACTTAGATGTCTTTTTATCTTCACATTATTGCACCGTTGTGTGAATGTTGTTGCAATGTAGTCATTTAATGGCCTCTCTGCTCATTTTAGAGATTTGTCTCCGTCATCTGCTGGAAAAAGGTAAATGTGTGTTTTGATTAACATTCTCATTTTACATCCAGATACATTTTAGCATCACAAATCCATTTATTTATTATTAAATGTTTTGGACAGTCCTACATGTAGGTCTCAATGGTTAAATAAGTTTTGATTTGTTTTTTTGTTTTTTGTTTTTTTCAGACCTTCAGCAAGATTTCCACAGCACAGGAGGAAGAAGAGAAAGGAGATGGATGAGGGCATCCCAGAGACCAATCAACATAAACAGAGTAAATTGAATGCTGATATAAATACAATGACAATTAGATTATTAATTGTACCTCATTTATTGTTGGTCCATTTATCTATTTAATGTATTGTGAATTTTGTCCCTTTTTATATGTCCTAGTATTTTCTGCCCTTCTCCCTTTTATTTAGATGCATACATTATAAAGTTGTTTGATCGCAGTGTTGATTTAGCTCAATTCAACACCACCGCCCCACTGTATCCAATCTGCCGTGCCTGGATGAGAAACAATCCTTCCTTTAGGGAACCCACAGCTTCTCCAAGCTCCCCTCAAAGCATACCAGAAGAGGAGGTGAGACTATTAATAAGTTTGTCACTTTTATTTTGTTCATCACACAAAAGCACTAACAAAAAATTATCAGAGTAAACTCTGGATGTTTATGACAGCCAATGGGTTCATTACTGTTGATGGTTTTTTGACAGTTTTTTTTTTTTTTTAACTTGCTAAAGCATTGGTTAAGTAAGTGTTTTTCTTGAACAGTCATAACCCATACTTTCTTTGAATCTGTTTCCCATTACCTTCTTCATCTTAAGTTTGAGGTTTCATGGAAACCAAGTCAGAACAAAAGGAGACAGATGCAGAAAAAATGACTATAAACTCCTACGGTTCTTGTGGTTTTTAGAAATTAAAAGAAAAGTGGTCATGTTCAAAGTGGGCAATTATGTAGGCAGTTTTAATAATGTCTAGATAACCCTGTGAATACTAGAAACCTGACTTTTGGAAATCTCTACTTTGCAAAGCATTTTTTTTGCCACATATGTGGAAGCAAACATAGCTAAGCATTTCAGTTGGATGAGCCTTATTCGCAGTTTAGTTAAGATTGTTTTTAGGAGGTGACACGTTTGTTAAAGCCCATCTCTGTATTATCACATTAGAATAGCATGCATGAGAACTTATTAAATTAGTTTTCATCTTGAAAAATTGTTGTTTAGGTCACAGACATGATGAATGGCAAAGGGCAGAATGTGTACCGACTTCCTCCTCCATCTGCCTGTACAGTGAGCCCCTCTGGTGAACTCATCAATCTCAGGATCCCACAGACTGAAAAGCCCACTATTTCCAAGGTTCTAAAATCATGTGATTATTTAAATGATATTTTTTTTTCTTTTTCAATTTTACTGGGAATTGGAAATGCAAATCTCTACTTATATAATCTATGATGAATAAAGTTGCTCTCTTTGCACAGTTCACAGAGGTTCCCGTATCAGGAGCTCTCATCAGTGACCACATGGAACGCTGGAAAAAGATAAGACAGAAGTAAGTTCTTCATGAGCTGCTTTAAACCCTTTTATTATTGTTTTTTGGAAAGATTTATTCTTGCTAAGTTACAGTCATGATACGCCAAGATTCACTTTCAGTGTTATCTGGGACTAGTTAATCTGATTCAGAATGCTTTTACCAGAACTTATTGGTTAATTTATGATTAAGACTTGTGCAGTGGCAAAGCTATTTGTTTTGAAAGTAAAGGGTGATTATCAAAAACATGTATGATTAAATAACTTAATTGTGCACAACCTGCCCATGAAAGAACTAGCCAGCATTTCAGAGAGATTAAACCACTAGAAAGTTATGGGGAGTTAAAATATAAAAATTTTGAGAGCTTGAGTTTGCCTTTAAACTTTGAACAATCCCAGCTGCCCTCGGGTCTCGAACAAAATAACTCCACAGCTGGTGCACTGGAAACTAAATCATGCCTTTAAAGATTTTTTCCAAAATTTCAGGAATAACACTTGCACCTTCCTTCATAAGAAGTGAAAAAAAAAACACATTCAATAGCAAATAAAAAAAAAAAGAATTTGTAAATCAAAGAAAGTCAATGCAGAGATCTTAAATCAGAGTGATCTGCGGAGGATATTGTTTATTTGGTCATCTAGTTCAGGGTTCTTTGACATTTCTCTTCCCTTTCATTTCAATTTCTGTGTATTTGCTGGTTCATGCTGTGTAACCTTCTTTTGTGTTAGAGAAATCACTTCCTCACAAATGAGAGTCTGTTGTACCAAATAGGTTTCCCGTGACCCCTACACATCATACGTGATGAAAGTTGTGCCATGGAGAAAATCTAATTTTGGGAATTTTTCAGAGCTTCCACAGTGCTCCTTTTTTCCACAGTTGCTCACTAGCTGAAATAAGCAGAAGGGGAAAGAAATGGGATGATCAGGTCAAACTGTTTGGGTAATCAGTTGTGGTGCAATTGTTTTCGGTAAAAACATTTTGAGAAATGACAGTGTTCCCCGTTTGTTTTGAAAAGAAACATGTATTAAGTTCCTCACATTTTTCACATGCTCCAGACATTTTAGATACAAGAATTTTAATTGTGAAATTTTTATAGAATGAGAACAGTGTAAATGCTGGCAAATAATAGCTGCAGGCTTGTAGTACAACAAAAACAATGTCTTTTAACAGTAATTAAATACATCACAATGAACACTTTTTAATAGCGTTTTATATTTAAAAGTTTTTTTTCTTCTTGCTGTAGATGGAAGGAATGCTCCAATAAAAACCAGATGAGATACAGTGAGAGCATCAAGGTTCTGAAGGAAATGAAGGATCTCTATGACCACTGACTGCCTGCCTTGTATTTGTCAGCTGCAGAATGGACTCTCCACTGTTGGAAAGGAGCCATGCATTCATATTTGATGTTCGATGACTCCTGCATACAACCATAGATGAGTAGAAAAAAAATAGCAGAACTTTGAACTTTAACAAACTTTTTGTCCCTTAAGTTGCAGAAAAGATATTTGGCAATTTCCTTTGTGGGGGTATATTGCAGTGTCAGACTTTATACTAAAGTACATTTTGTGTAAATGTCTAAATAAATGACATTTGAGGTAGTATTTTTGTCTCTCACACACACACACTGGTATGTCCTTGATATAATCCAGAAATGATTAAAGTCTACTGTAATGTATTCCTGTGTTTGTGGTGTATTTTTTTGTCCATTAGATAAATCTTTGCAACAAACAAATTAGAGCTGAAATGGTTGGTTATTTTCTAAACACACGAGTTACCCATATTGATTTATTTTTTTCTTGGAACATGCTTGATTTTTCTTTATTATGGCTAATGATAAGAACTCAGTTTCATTATTCTGCAAGTGGGGAAGCCCCAAAAATCAAGTGTTCTCATTCTTTATCTCTTAACGCGACAGACCTGATGAGGTATCAGGTAACAGAAGCAAAAACATACATTTCTTGGAATTCTGAAATATGTCTGGTTACTGCAGCATTTTACTGGAGTATCATTTCACTTCAGACTAAAGTTAACATAGTGAACTTTTGTCTCATTGGCCAAATTGTTAGTTTTACTGCTATAATGGGATTACAATAAGTGTAACTGGATAGATGGAAAGCTCAACTTCATTTGGTAGATGGGGTCATTGTGTACTCCACTTTGTCTTGTACCAGTGGTTTAAATGTAATTCTCTTCCAAATTTACAGTAAAAAGATGTAGTTATGTCTTTTCTTTCAAAAGTTTTCTGTTCACTTTACAGAGAACACTGACTCGTTAAGTCAGTTAGTTTCAGTATCTGTATCCAATACAAATTCTAGAGTCAAATTCAGTTCATTATGTTCATGTTCAGCCCTATACTAGATACATGCAGGTCCCATTTACACAACCAGTTGCAGTATTTTACCCTACTGATCATGTTTCAGATTGCACGGTCTAACCTTACAAACAGGAAGTCTAGCATAAACCACTGTGGTGTTGTAAGATAACGTGCTGTTGAGCGCGTGAATAACATTCTTATAAATAAGCTCAAAAAAGTTCTTCAACAGTTTTTGTGTCAGTATTCTTATTATTATGCCTAAATCTGAGTCATGGGATTGTAAAATGGAGCCCATTATTGGAGCCCATAACTAAGCATGTGTGGACAAACTTAACTTTGCAATTTAATGTAAATTATATAAAACTTTAGATTTTGGAGGATGCAACTTTGAGCAAATCTGAATAATTTTGCATATGCTTGACATACAGATAGGGTTTATTCACTTTGCTATCTCCTTCAAAGTCGAGAAAAAAGCTTTCAGAAACAAGAGCTGAGATCTAATGTGGTTTCCTTCATATCAGCAAGACCATCGAAGATGTCAAAAATTCACCGAAACTGTTTTTTTATGCTTGGCATATTCTTCTTCACAAGAGAAAAAAAGTAAGAATAGTTTTGCTTTTAGAGGACAGAATCAGTATTAAAGATTGGCTTAAAAACATATTTGTGAAAATATCTTTTTTATCATTGCAGCTGCTGATTTCATGTTGTCATGAAAAATGTGATCGAATGAGCTTCTGTGGTCCTTGACTACAATACAGAAATGCTTTCTTTTATAGTTTGGCACCTAAGGAGGTTGATGCAGATATGTACTTTGAAAACCAGAACATTTTGTTGTGGCTGTTATGATCAGTGTTTTTCTGTGTGTTTATTTTGAGTTTGCTGTGTCTTTTTGTCTCCTCGTTGTCCTGTCTTCCCCTTGATTGCTCCCAGGTGTGTCTCGTCTCCGTGATTACCCTCTGTGTATTTAATCCTTCCTGTGTCCTTTGTTCCCCGTCGGGTCCTTGTCTCATTTTGGCTTTGGTGTATGTTGTGTCGGTCTGTCCATTCATAGCTACCTTTGGTTCCGCTCAGCTGTGCTGCCAGCTTGTTGGTCCTCTGTGCTTCATACTTTTACAATAAATAATCATTTTCTCAACCCGGGTCTAAGCGTCTGCCTCACCACCACATCGCACCATTTTATGACAGTGGCAGCATAAAAATTAAGTCTTCTGAAAGGCACAAAACAAACAACTCATCATTTATTATCCATACAAGTGCTGTTAATCCAGTTTCATTGTAAAAAGGACCATAAATGTCCAGAGGCTTTTACTCAGAATCAGATTTAGCCATTTATTAAATGTGGTAAAATATTTACTCTTAGTTTCTGATGAAAGAGTGACTCAAATCTGTACTGAGTGCTGACCATACTCGGACGAAAAATAAAAAAAAGATGACAGAAGCCAAGCATTGTAGTTTATTTCTGGACCTGTGAAATCTACAATGATTAACTGTGCTAAATTGGATTTCTACAACAATCCAATGTCTTTATTCCAGTATAATATGATTTTATTGTCATAGTAGTCATTTATTGTTGAGTTTGTAAGAATGAAAAAAATATGCTTTTTCAAATTGACAGTTTTGGCTCCTGTTGCAAACAAATTTGGACACCACTGTCTTAAGGAAGCTGAGGTGATTAGAGGGGTCTTCTGCTCATCTGCATTATTTGCTTTAATGTATCATATATGTCCATACATAACCTTTTGATTTGGCTGACTTTGGGCTTCATAAGACAAGGTGACCAGCACCACCTTCTCTAAATTATCACTGACTGACCTCTGCACTCTTCCTCCCGACTCTGGGACCTTAATTTTCAACCAAATGCAAAATGTACGTTCACCCAAAGAGGACTTTGGACCACTGAGCAACAGTCCAGTTCTTATTCTCAAGTAAAAGCCTGACTGACTTGACATAAGAAATAAGTCATCAACTGTCACCTTCCTTGTGTTCTGGACTGACAAAACACAAGGAAGGTGACGCTCTCTGTTCTTGTGTGGTTTTAGTGTCAGCATCTCAATAGACAGCCACTGCTTTCATGGCTGCTGCTCACCGGGGTAAGTGGGAGACACTGCCCCATCTCATACTTCTTACTACAAGAAGTATGAACTTTGTAAAGAAAGCATTCATTATATTCTGAAAACGTTGTGCTATTGCTTCTTTTTTTAAAAAACCACAATAGAATGTAATGGCTGCAAGGAAGAGCTGCAGTACAAGTATTGTGATTCAGATAAGGTGTATGTGAGCAAAAAACCACGCAGAAGTGTTTAGAAGTTTCTGTTATTCCAGCTGCTTTGTTCTTTTCAAACCAAAACACTCTTTCTCAGGCTCTTGTTATATCCTGTAAGATAAGAAATCAGGACTGAAAGCGTGACAGGATTGTTTTTTCATCATATGTTTAATAATTGACTGTCATCGATGAAGTAGGCAAGAGGCAAGTTAAAACAAAATTCAAACTGTTCTAAAGTAAACAAGTAATTTCATACTGTTTTTACAGTATTTACAATCATTTCATTAAAAGCTTGACATGTACAATATATTGCTGCGGGACACCTGCACAGAGTTTCAGTTACAATTTGCTGATTGAATGTGGGAAGTGCGATTTTATCAGACTTTCCGTTGTACGTCTCAGGATGTCTCAATAACCACATACGAAAACACCTGTTAATGGTGAACAAATGATGGAAAACAAGCAACCATCAAAAATATTCTTTGAATTTTTTTGCGTGTGTTCACACTACTTTACAAATAAGCTTTGCTCAAATCACTTCAGTGCACTTTTATTAAAGTCCACCATTTCAATCAGTTTGTGGCTGGTCTCCTCAGTGTCAATGGACTTCTTCGTACAGATCTCTTTTTTTGGTTTTGTTAAGATCACCGATGTCTCTGTTTCTTTCCCCTCAGCAGGGGTGGTAGAATCAGACTTTCTGTGAATCCTTGACAATGAACGAGACGATGTTACATATGATAAGTGATCCTCTGCCAGGGCATTTTCTAGAACTAACCAAATGGACTCCTTGAGCTTCTTCTGGAACTCGTCACACATGAAAACATAGAGGATGGGGTTCAAGCAGCTGTTCATGAATGCAAGACTTACAGTTAGAGGACCTGCAACATGAACAATGTTCCATAAATCTGGGTAATTATTTAAGTTTAATTCCATGAAACTCAAAACATGAAAGGGCAACCAGCAGATAAAGAATGCAAAAATGACTGAGAAAATGATACGGTGACATCTTTGTTTCCTCATTCTCTGCAGACGCCTGGCACGAATCCCTATGGCCACATATGAGAGAAATATTGCCAGGAATGGGATGAGAAAGCCAATAACAAAGCGGAATATATACAATGTGTATTGTTTGCTTTTTGTCATAGTTGAAGGGTACTTGCAGTACGTCTGATTCTGGATGTCTTCCACGGTACGAAAATATGCATAGGGTGTGCTACAGATGCCTGCAGCCAACCAGATTACAGCACTTATGACTTGAGCTTTGTGAACGGTGCGCTTGTTTTGTGCCCACACCACCACCCAGATGGACACGCAACGATCCAGACTTATAGCTGTCAGAAAAAAGACGCTGGCAAACATGTTGACCAAGCTCACAAAGTTGTTGAGTTTGCACATGAACTGTCCAAAGGGCCAGAGGTGCTGCTGAGAGAGAGAGACTGCTGTAAACACCAGGAACGCTGTAAAGAGGAAGTCTGCCAGAGCCAAGTTGAGAAACCACACAGAGTTGACTGTTTTCGTCATCTTGAAGCCGGTCACGTAGATGACCAGACCATTGCCCACTGTCCCAACCACTATAATCACACAGTAGACGACCAGTGAGAATGTCTGTATGTTCTTCACTGCCATGTCCAATCCAGTTGGCTGACTTGCAGATGAATTTTCATTACCTAACAAAAATATAAATATTGTATGAAACATTCACTAAGCCATGTTTTAAGATAAATAGCCTTGCTTCTCCAGATGCACATTTTTTATGCAGATTTCACATGCAGTACAGAATATAATTCTAATATCAATTAAATTGATCAGTTTTGCATGTTCAAAGCAACTCACCATTTGCCATTTTGCTTTTAGCTGTAAGAGTCTCCCCTCACTTTGACTATCTCTATGTAGCCTTACCTATATTTGTTCTCTATGTGATTACTCCTCCTTCTTACCTCAGAAACCTGCCAATGAGAATGCCAATGGGTGTGGATAAACTCACTGTTGCACTTTCGGGTGCAAATTGACAGCTCAGATGGGAGAATTAAACAACACGTTAAGAAGTTCCATTTTTGCAATAAGCAAACACTTGGCGTGAAGAAAGTGCAATAGTCAAAAGTAATTTTTTGTTTTGTGTGCAGAACCTATGTTAAGCAGTGTTGCTCGATGGAGCAGTATACAGGAGAGTACCTTCTAGGAACCTGCTATTAGATGCAAAGGACTTGAGACTGGGGCAGAGTTTAGTTATTTTTATTTTTCTACTCTACTGTACAGTATTATGTTTTTAATCCTGTAAACCACTTTGAATTGCCTCATTAGCTTAAATCCGCTAAACTAATAAAATTGAGTTCATCTGATCAAAGCAAAATCCAGTTTTGTAGAAAAGATTGGACAAAAAAATTTAAGATGTGCAAAGATGGTAAGTTTGCACCTACCATCTCACAGGTAGATGCAAACCTACATGTCTCTCCTGCAGGAGAGTCTGCAGGAGTTTGGACCTCTGTGTTGCAGAGGTGTTGCTGTGTTGCCACCTCTGCAACACAGTGTTCAAAGATGGCAAACTGTGTCATCTGAAGCAATCCTGATATTACATTCTGGCTCCCAGCTCCCTTCAACCATACTGTCAAAAAGTACAGCTAGACTTTTTGCATAGGTGGAAATCAAAATAGAATGCAAATGACAGCTATGACAGAATCATTTGACTATGTAAATATTTTTTTCTGAGTTTATTACATAATGTCAAACACTTAAAACCTTATCATCTAATGTTCTGTATGCTCTCAAAAACCTGATATTTTTGTAATTCAGATGCCAAAAAGTTGTCAAATCTCTTCAGTAAAGTTTATTTTGTATTATAAAGTTTTTAAGAAATTAAAATGATTTAGCTCATACTTTAGCTCTCTAGAACAAGTTCCCTGATTCTGACTGCTGAACAATCAGTTTTTCTCCTAATTCTAGTATTATGACTACTCCAATGCTCTTTTTCCTTTTTTTCTTTTCTTTCTTCCCCTTTTTCTCACTCTCTCTTTCTCTCTCTCTATTGCATATTTCAAATTTAAAGAACCTGCCACTGTAGAAATTTGTTCCAAATATTCATGAGGGCATCTTATAAGTTTATGTAAAAAAAACAGATGAGTCTGAAAAAGTCATGACATTTACATGATGTGTAAGAGCTCTGCTCCTCACCTGAGTCTTAGCAGCATGCATTCTACCTCCTGAGGCCCAGTGATTAAATACAATATACAGGTATTACTGTTCTTCCCTATGTTAGTGTTTACACTCCTGTTGTGATGCAGATTGTAAAAAAATAAGTGTTAAAGCCACATTTTTCCCCGCATCGTACTTCTGCAATTGTTTGCCTATAAATACTTACAGTAGAGTAAGAGCTGCAGTGCAGAAAGCCACAAAAACACCCTATCTCTTGAGGAACAACTTAACACAAATTTGATCGTAATTTAAGCTCTACAGGTAGGGCTTAAATTTGTTAGGTTGAGTTATGTAATTCATACATCTACTTTGAGTTTTCTGTGTTATTCACGTGCCGTCACCACATTACGTTCCACAGCTCCAACTCGAAAAGATAATCAAAAACATGAATCAGGAAACATTTTGCAGCAACACCTGAAAGTATTTTACATGCCACAATAAATGTCCATCCATCCTTCTAACACTCTTGTCCCTCGTGGGTTTGGGAGGTGCTGGTGCCTATCTCCAGTTAACGTTTCAGGTGAGAGGCGGCGTCACCCTGGACAGGTCGCCAGTCTGTCGCACACAATAGATGTCTATGCATCAAATTGATAAAGTTTGCATTTTTGCTTCAAACCTCACATATAGACAAATAAATGTGGTATTCTGAGCCCTGCAAACCTGTGAGTGGAGTGAATTTACATGCAGAAAAAAGATAATCAAACCCGTGTGGTATATTTACAGGAACAAAGTATATCTGCAAAACATTCAATTGTGAGTGTCACTTTGCTTATCTGCTTATCAACTAGTGACAACAGTTTGAATCAAGGTTCATGTTAAATGTGAATCTTATTGGTATTTTTTGGTGTTAATATAACATATTGATTACAAGATTAGTTTTTGCACGAGGTCACATAGATTGTTATTGACAATTTTAAAAATGCATTATTGAATGCTTGGAGAGTGTCCTGCAGCAATTTGACAATTAGTTGTTAATATAATTACACAAATTGAAATAGACATAAATCCACTCCAATGTTTTTAACAAAAAAATAAATAAAAAAACTCCAAAAAAGTTGATTTCGGTTATGTGTGGGGCTGAGGGTGTCAAGAGAACTTTGTGGTTTCAGTTTCTTTAAATGACAAAGTAAAAAATGTGTCTGACAACCATCTCTCGAATTCCAACTACATCAAAACAGGGGCAGTACCTTTGTTTCGTCTGTGTTATGATTTAAGCTATAATGCATAATGCTATTTTTTGACAGTAACTGGAAACAGCAGATTAGCACAAACACTTATTACCTATTGTCAAACATGGTGGAGGAGGTTTGATTTTTTTTTTTTCTGGCACACGTCTTTGGCACCTCACTGTTTAGATCTTCTAATGTCATTATAAATGCTACAACCTTAAACTTTCCTGTTTTATAAGACTGAGAAACACATTTCCAAATCTAACCTTTTGTGGAAATGTCAGAAGAAATGTTCACTGTCGTCTGCGCCAGGTCTTCAAGGCACACTGAAATCACATTCCACCTTGAGTAAACTTCAGTTATTTTGCAAAGAAGAATGAGCAAAGGTACAGTCTTTGTATGTGTAAATCAACTGTAATTGGAACGAAATCTGCCTCTCTGAAGTATTGACATACATCAGTGTAATTTATATTTGTAAAAAGTAGACTAGTGTTGCAAAAATATGCACTACTGGGCTTTGGTTCATCAAAATAAATCCCAATGAAATACGATGAACTTTGTGATTGTAACATGAAAAGATATGGAAAAAGTTTTCATATCTTTATATCTTATTATCTTATTTGAATAAAGTATTCATCATCCTTTATGGATGCAAGTAGCAAGGCATTTTTTGCCTTGTTTCCTCTGAACAGTATGGCATCAATGCTGTATGCAACAATAAAGAACATAATGCTCCAAGGCCCCATAGAAACTAAGAAATGATGTGTTAGGGTGTAAATAAACAGGTGAGACTTTATCAAAATGGAGATGAAGCATTTTAACAGACATGACCTGAAGAATCAGTTCCCAGAACTTCTTTCTTATGGTCATTCAGAATAAGATGGATGGATTAGTTGCAGGTTGATTAGTTGGGGTGGTAGACGTTTGTCCTATATCCACTGGGTTGCTGGCTTGAACCCCCACTCTGTCTGTCTCAATCGTTGTGTCCTTGGTCAAGACACTTCATTCAACTTGCCTGCAGGTAGTGAAAGTATAACAGTTTCCTGCATAAAATGATGCAACAGTATGCAGTACTGAAGAGGTAAATAAAGCCAGTGTTGTGCAATTTCCAGAGTTGTGCAAAACACTGCAAATTTTGCAAAAATGTCAGAGGTGGCAGGGGAAGGCAGGAGGAACTACAGGGGACCAACACAGTTCACCAGACCTCAGTCTTGTGGTCCTGCTATTTGCTCTGCAACCTTCTGCATGAAGGGAAAAGGGAGAGCATTGGAAGGCACAGGGTGCAGGAGATACAAGAAACTGTATCTTGATGTACTTGATGGTGAAGAGGCTGCAATCCACCATCCTCTGTGCAGCTTTCACCACCTTCTGCATTGCTGTTCTGTGTCTTCTCTGCTAGGTGCGGTGCCTCGTGGGGATGAGGACACTCTCAACTCCACTTCTGTAGAATGATGTCAGGTCTGAACTCTGGTTCAGACCTGGTTCAGACGCATCCCAAAGAAGTAGAGACACTACTGTGCTTTTCGAATCAGGCAGATATTCGTGCTCCAGGTGAGGTCATCAGCGATGTAGGCACCTGTAGCTTAGAGACCACATCCTGTCCCTCCGACAGTGTAGCATCATCTCCTTTATCTTCTTCACATTGATGAAGAGCTTGTTTTCTTTGCGTCAACCCTCCATGTGCTCCCCCTCTACCAGTTGTCAGACTAACTACAGATGAGTCATCTGCAAACTTCACAATTAGGCAACGGAGTTGTTTTACTGAGCAGAGTGAACAGAAAAGGCTCAGTACACTGCACTAAAGGGAGCCGATGCTGAGAGTGACAGGGAAGGAAGAATTATTTAAAAATTCCAGAACCCAGTTGCAAAGGGTGTAATTTAATCCAGGTATATTAAGTTTTGAATTAGAGTCTGTATAGGTGTCTTGAATGTTGATTTGAAATCCACAAAGAGCAGACAAACATAATAGTCCTTGTTTTCTAAATGGGCAAATTCTGTTAACCACCGAAGATAAGAGTGTCTGCTGTGGGTCGGTTTTTCCTGCACACATCAATACTGCATCACATATTGATGTGGGTCCACAGTGACGTCAATGCAATCCACGATGAAAGCCATGACCACTTTGTTAAAGTACTTCATGACTACCAGGGAGAGATGCTCTATAGTGCTATGTTCAGAATGTATGTCTGCAGACTAATGGACATTAAGATACATTTAAAATCAAAATGGAAAAGACAGAGCTCAGTTTAATCAAAATTTGCATACTCACAAATTAGGCAAATACTAGTATTATGAACTAAAAATTTTTGAGTCTGGATTTAGAGTAATATTCTCTGTATAAAGGGAACCATCTCTACCGCTATACCATGCAACATCCTAAAATATTTCATATTTTAGACAACGTAGCATAATGGAGAGAGACTTCAACTTTTTATTTTAAAATAGTCTCAGCTAATGTGATGCGCAGATTGTCAACCTAGACTATAAATCATGACACGTTACTAATATTTTTTTGAAGACATAACATTTAAGGAAATCACACACATGAAAGTCACCTACAGTTGAAACATCAAAAACTAAATGAAGGGGAAAAAATGACATGCATGTTTTCTCTATGCATACATCGCAATACATTCTAGATCTGTAGTAAAATTCCTACATAATTCTCCTAGACAGGAACAGAGGACTCTGATTTTCTATCAGACCGTAACAACTGTGGTGACAAGAAACGAGAAGACGCAGATGGCAAAAAGTCCTCCGCCAGAGCATTTTCTACAACAAAGTACACAGAATGATGAAGCTGATTTTGGAAGTCATCTCGGATAAAAACGTAGAGGATGGGGTTCAGGCAGCTGTTCATGAAAGCTAGACTCAGACTCAAAGGACCTCCAATCCTAACAATCTTCATAAGGTCCTTTCTTTTGCTGGAAGCTAATTCTATAAAACTCACAACATGAAATGGCAACCAGCAGACGAAGAATGCAACAATGATGAAAACAATTACACGGTGAGATAAGTGTTTCCTCACATTTTGCAGACGTTTGGAACGTATTCCTATTGCCACATAAGAGAAAAATATTGTCAAGAATGGGATGAGGAAGCCCACAACAAAGCGGAAAGTGTACAGAGTCTGTTTTTGTTGGATGGTAGAATTGTAAATGCACTGGGTGTCATTGTCCTGGTAGGTCACAATGCGAAAGCAGGCATAAGGTGTGCTACAGATCGCTGCAGCAAACCAGATTACAGCACTGATGATTTGAGCCTTGAAGACGGTGCGCTCGTTTTGTGCCCATGCCACCACCCATGTGGACAGACATCTATCCAGATTTATGGCCGTCAGAAAAAAGACGCTGGCAAACATGTTGACCAAGCTCACGAAGTTGTTGAGTTTGCACATAGACTGTCCAAAAGGCCAGTGGTGCTGCTGAGAGAGAGAGACTGCTGTAAACACCAGGAACGCTGTGAAGAGGAAGTCTGCCAGAGCCAAGTTGAGAAACCACACAGAGTTGACTGTTTTCTTCATCTTGAAGCCGGTCACGTAGATGACCAGACCATTGCCCACTGTCCCAACCACTATAATCACACAGTAGACGACCAGTGAGAACGTCTGAATGTGTTCGAGAGCCGATTCCAGTCCAGATGAACGATCTATGGTTGTGTTATCTGATAAAGACAAATTGAAACACTCATTAGAGTCTGCAGAATGCACAGAGAGAACATTTGCATGTGCACGCAATGATGCATTCACAAAATCTTATCATGTTTCTCATCACAGCTGCATTCTTAGACAAAAAACAAAGAGTTGTTGAATCAGCAGACATGTCCACAGCAACGTTCTCAGAATTAAAATGTGTTATTTGCTGCATGCAAGTAAAATTTCTATCATATTTTAGATTTTTAGCTAGAGATGAATTTGTGAGTTAGTTGGTTAAACCTTTATATTATCTTTTTTTTTTTTTTTGCATCTGAAGATAAAATGAATGCCAACTGTACAAAACCACAGTAATCTGAGTTGACCTAAAAACTTTAGCTCACTCAACAAAAAGCTATTACATTAAAATAGAAAAAATACTTAATTCTATAAGAACTCAAGGTAAGTGTGTAAAAAATAAACATTTATTTTTTTAACAGTCTTTAGAAATGAGATTTACATTCTACAACACAAACATATCAATCAATTTGCAAGATCTATAATTTGTGTTCTTACGTTAAACAATCATACACTTTTCTGTTTAAATTAAGAACGAGCTTTAAAACTATTGGTATTCTTTCTATGAGCAACTCACCAGTCCCCATGCTCCAGGCAGCTTCAAAGTCTTCATTCTGAGTTGATTTATATCTCATCTTAACTATATTTCTTCTCTCTCAGCACTCCTCCCTTTCCGCTGCTGCTGCCAATAAGACAGTGTGGACATACCCAAGAAGTGAACCAAACAAATGTACCAGCTAAGACTATTCACCACGAAATTAAATTTTACTAATTGTATGAAAATGCAAAAGCCAAAAGAGGCAGATATTTGTGGGTTTTACCATATGCAAATAATTTATTTGTATATTTCCCCAAACTTATGATTCTATCCGTCTGTCCTGCCTAGTTGTGAAGTAACCAATAGATAATGAATCCTGTTATAATGTAGTGCTCATTTATAGCACAGGGGAGGAACTGGAACACAAAACAATCCCAGGTAATAGTCCCAATATCTACTTGACGTTCACCTGGCATGATAGAATACCTTTTCACTTGTGCACCAAGTCTAGAGATATTTCCTCTTTGGTACAGCTTCCACAATCAGCTGATGTTGCCCTTATAACAAAGTTCAAACACCCAAAACAAGAACTCAAGAAAAAGTTAGTAAAAGTTAATGTTAGGCCGTTTGTTTTCATAACATAACATTTATGTGTTATTCTCTGTAAAACCATTAGCTGTAGTTTATTGAACAATGTATGTGTCATGTACTTTTGTTCTTTCCAAAATGCCACAAGATAGTCCTATATCATATTTTATTCCCTTCCTAACACCACAGCAAATCCACCAGGCCAATATTTAGATTTGATTTCAACACTTTTAGAGTGTCTGTTGATTTTACTCTTTTTGAAGAGTTGTTTCCTTAACTCTAATTAAGTGTCAAATATCAAATCTGCGGAGTGATATTGACACTTTCATAATCATTTTGGAGGTGATGCTGACGACTCATCTGCGACCAAACTGGTACTAATATATAGAAAAAGGTAATAAAAGGATTAAAACGTGCTGCAAAATGTAAAAAAGAAGACACAACTGCAGGAATAATGCTTTCAACAAAAAAAAGCATTTTACAATTTTTCAAAGGAAAAAAAATGATCAGAAAGTTTGACAAATCTGACCAATATTCAAGTAAATGTTCAACATCATGAAAAAACATACTCCAGGTTATTACGGACCTGTTCAAGTTAGCCAAGAATTTGACTGAATGTTCACCGGTTCCAGTTTTTTCCTAACACTTAAAGGATTTTGTTTTCTATTTTCAGTAGGTACCATGTCTTTCAGTCTACTTACAAAACAGCAGTACAGTAACTACCGTAATTTTCGGACTATAAGCCGCGACTTTTTCCCATTTTTTCGACCTGCGGCTTATATAACAGTGCGGCTTATCTATGGATTTTTACAGCTAACGGCCACTAGGGGGATACCTAAATTCATGGGTTTTACCATCCACCATGTTGACGTCACATTTGCTTCAACACACAAGTAGCTGCGCGCACGAGTGGTACGAGACAGAACGACAGCGAGAGAATGACGGACATTGCAAGCGCAAGACAGTTTGTGAGACACCCTCATTATGGAAAACAAACGTAGAAATGCATATGATGCAGCTTTTAAGTTAAAGGCAGTCAATTTGGCAGTAAACGAAGGAAATAGAACCGCTGCATGTAACTTTGGAATCAACGAATCAATGGTGAGACGTTGGAGACGCCAGCAGGAAAAAAATAAATCGTTTCACCAAAACGGGTCGCATGAGAAAAGCTACCGTTGCACAAGTTTGCGAGTGGATCCTGATGGCGTGGAGGAGTGTAAAAAAAAATCCACAATCACCAACGGGTTCAGAAAGGCTGGACTGCTGCGTGATTGTGAGGAGGACGCCGCCACACCTGAGGCCTTTCAGAGGCTGTTCGATTCCGACAGTGACGAAGAGGAGTTCGTTGGTTTTGAGAGCGACATTGAAGAGAGGGAGAGTGGCTGACAAAGCCCTGAACCTGTTTGTTTCCGACACTGAAGATGAGGACTTTTGTGGTTTTAGTACGGAGAAGAAGACGAAGATGAGGATTAATGACTTGACTTTTCTGGTTACAGCCATGTACTTCACCAAAGATGAAGAGGAGGGTTACGGTAATAACTTTTCTGGTAGACTGATAACCGTATATTTTAAGCAGCAGTTACTGCAATTTAGACTTACTCGTGTCACAGGCACTTTATTTGTTGTTGTAGCTTTATATGTTCTGTACCTTCTGTAGCTACTATTGCACTAAATGGTTGAAAACGTTAGGCAAATATGCAACTTGTTTGTTCAAATGTTTATAAATAGGAGCTACTATTGCACTAAATTGTAACAGTTAACGTATGCAAATATGCAACTTGTGTTGAAATGATAATAAATAGGAGCTTCCCCAAACAGTTGCCTCTTTCCCAACAATCCCCTCTGTGCACGAACCATATGGTAATTACGTAAACATAAAAAACCTGCGGCTTATAGTCCGGTGCGGCTTGTATATGTACAAATCATGCAATTTAGCTTCTGCGGCTTATATTCAGGTGCGGCTAATAGTCCGGAAAGTACGGTAGATTCAACATGATGTGTTGAATGCAAAATACGTTTTGAAATAATGTCCCTTCTGAACTACATAAAATAACCATGACTCACGTGAAGAGTCCTGGTTCAGGTTCATCTTCCACCAGGTATTTTACTCTGCAAATAAAATACCTGGTATTTCATTTATCACATCAAACAAAATCCCCCTTTTGGTTGATGTGATACTATTATTACTCACGATTAGACCTCAAGCTCTGTGTTTTTCTTCAGAAAAACCACAAGAACCTTTGATGAAAAAGGAAGCTTTGATGACATGTACTGTATGTCCTGTTTATTTAACCAGGTGTGTCTCATTGAGATTAAAAATCTCTCTTTCAAGAGAGACCTGGTCAAGACTGGCAGGAAGTCATGGATGGTTACAAACCAAAACTGCAGACATGTCCACAGCAAAGTTCTCAGAATTAAAATGTGTTATTTGCTGCAGGCAAGTAAAATTTCTATCATATTTTAGATTTTTAGCTAGAGATGAATTTGTGAGTTAGTTGGTTAAACCTTTATATTTATCTTTTTTTTTGCATCTGAAGTATAAAATGAATGCCAACTGTACAAAGCCACAGTAATCTGAGTTGACCTAAAAACTTTAGCTCACTCAACAAAAACCTATTACATTAAAATAGAAAAAGTACTTAATTCATACCCTAGTATGGATAATAAAGGAACAAAAACAACAAAGCAAATCAAGCCATTAAAGTAAAAATAGGAGTAAAATGCATCCTGATATTAGTCAAAGCACTTACAAACAAAAACAACAGTCACAAACTGATTAAGAGCGGCTTTAAATACATTAAAAGAGACCATTTTCTTCAAGATTACATCTTTATGCAGTTGGTTCCCATCTGAGGGAGCAGCAGACTGGAAGGTTTCTTGCCATGATCAATGTGAACCTTAGAAATAGTCAACAAAATGAAGTCATCTGAGTGCAGAAAACCACCGCCTGAAAAATTTCCAACAATAAAGTACAGGAGTGATGGGGAAGAATAAATCCAAGACATCCAATTCTTCAGTAAAACAACAAAGTCAGAGGTTCAAAAACTGAAGAACTGAATATTATGAAATTAAATAAACCCAAAAACAAATCAGAAACATGGAGGGCAGAATTACTCAGGGTACGACTGAACAGATGAACCAGTCATGACCAAACAACCCAAGGGGAATAATATACTAATGGGAACTGATGAGAAGAGCAAGAAACAACTGAGACTAATGAGCTGAGAGGAAGGATCTGAGCGTATAATCAGAGAAAAGAGATTGAGGAAATGAATGACAGAACAGGAACTGAACAGAGACCAGAAATTAATAAGCAGTACACAAACAGAACACAATTAGAAGAAAGACTCAAAACCAAGAGAAGCCTGGGAAACATAGAAACAGTAATAAACCAGGAAGTAAAGAGACTGGAAAGGGCCACACTATCCCAAACAAAACAGGAAACTACCAATAAGATACCAAAGACAGGTTTGGTTTAGTAAATGATAAATATGCTATATTTATATCAATATAATAAATTAATTAATTAAATAAATAAATTTCTTTGAAAGTAAATGATGAACAACAAACTCATGATCATCACTTGAGTTTGTTGATCATGATCCTGAACATGATCAACAAACTACAACACGACACTTAGTTTGTCAGAAACATTTTGGTTAAAACTGAGGTTAAAACGAAATAATTTTTGAACGTGGTAGATGAGATCACTACTCTATATGTTCTGTCTGCCCACATTTAAACTGAAAAGGGTGTTTTATGTTTGTTCCTTGTTTATAACTCAGCCTTGCAACTAAACTGTTCTTAGCTGACAGTGTCACACATGCATACATACATACTAAGATAAATACACAAAAATCTGCAGTTTCACAGTTTATTAAGCACAGAGATACAGTAAAAAAACAACAAACATTTTAATATTTTCATTAGTTATTTCAACAACCTTACAATCACATAGATCAAAATATTCTGCCATACATCACACAGTATAGTATAAGGATTGGTGATTGGAATTGTTTAAAAAAATAAAGACAAATTATTTAAAGAAACATAAAAAGCACTCATAACAGCAAATATTCTTCTTATTTCACTCCACAGGTGCACGGCATTGTCTATCAATGCACCAATGGGTATCAGCTGTATCTTGGTCTTTTTTTTTTCTTTTCTTGTCATTTCAATAAGAATTGGATTTGATTTTGTTTCATTGCCTTTCTTTACTCTATGCCACCCTACTCTCCGTGAAAGTCAACGTATGCACACGCTTATCTTCTGGGACTGCAGAATCTGACTTTCGAGAAATCCGTGAAAAGTGAGATGACAGTGAGCGAGATGACGCAAAAGACAAGTGTTCCTCTGCCAGAGCGCTTTCTAGGACAAAACATAAGGACTTTTTGAGCTTCTTCTGGAACTCGTCACACATGAAAACATAGAGGATGGGGTTCAGACAGCTGTTCATGAAGGCCAGACTCACACTTAGAGTACTTCCAATTCTAACAACTTTCTGGAGTTGCTGGTCACCCACTTCTATAAAATTCAAAACATGAAAAGGCAACCAGCAAATGAAGAATGCAAAAATAACAGAGAAAAGGATGCGATGAAATCTCCGTTTTCTTGCCCGCTGCAGATGCCTGGAACGGATGATTATAGCAACAGAGGTGAAAAATATTGCCAGGAATGGAATGAGAAAGCCCATAAGAAAACGGAAAATATTCAGACGCCATACTATTTCTTTTGAAGAGTAGTTGCAGTATGTCTTATTATTATGGTTTATCACATTGCGAAAGAAGGCAGAAGGTGCGCTGCAAATCCCTGCACACAACCAGATTGCCGCGCTGATGATTTGAGCCTTCAGGACGGTGCGCTTATTTTGTGCCCACACCACCACCCAGATGGACAAGCAACGATCCAGACTGATGGCTGCCAGAAAAAAGACGCTGGCAAACATGTTGACCAAGCTCACAAAGTTGTTGAGTTTGCACATGAACTGTCCAAAAGGCCAGTGGTGCTGCTGAGAGAGAGAGACTGCTGTAAACACCAGAAACGCTGTAAAGAGGAAGTCTGCCAGAGCCAAGTTGAGAAACCACACAGAGTTGACTGTTTTCGTCATCTTGAAGCCGGTCACGTAGATGACCAGACCATTTCCCACTGTCCCAACCACTATAATCACACAGTAGACGACCAGTGAGAATGTTTGGACATGCTTCAGGACCGAATCTGATGACAGAAAATTGGAAATATTTGAAAACATATTTTTAAGAATACGCTGAAAGAAAAATAAATTGTGATATAACAATATAGTCATTTGATATGCAATGTAAGATGAAAGACAAAGACATCTGAATTACAACTAGTTTATCTGAATTGACAGACGAGGAAATAACAAGATTTCCTGTTTGAGCATAGGTAAAGCATATCTAAACTTTGTCATTTCAAAGGTTAGTTAGAGGATACATAGTCTTACTCATTCCTGCTAGTACAACATATCGACAACATTACCCAAGTTAATTGTAGTTTTAAAAACTCTTACCAATATCCATTGTGCAAGAGTGTCTGTTCAGTCTGAGTTGGGCTCGAACTGTTCAGAGCTTTATTTCTTCACCCTGTAATATCACTCCTCCCTCACAGCTCGTCCAGCTGCCAATGAGACTTTGTTGCTCACAAAAAGGAGTGAGCAAAGTGACAGTAGTGCATTCCAATACAAAAAAGGATATTAGAATTTCTTCACAGTGACAGAAAGCCCTTTAAGGATTTATCATTAGTTTGTAAGAGTGATTTGTTTTTAAAGAGATGTTTTGTATCACTGTGTGGCTGGTCAGGTAGGACATATTTGCACAGTATTAATTACAAATTCTAGTGTATTTTCTGCAATTAATGTCTGACGTGTTGATGCAAAGTCATCCACTTGTACAAATCACACACAGACATGACAACAAACACAAATAAGGGAAGGACTTATTTAGTGTCTGAGTAATTATGAGAACACATACCAAACCATTTGTTTGAAAATCAAACACCATCAACACCTCTTCAAATTTCTGGTTTTGGTGACATTGAAATTATACATCACTATTTTTCATTGCATATAGCAATAAATGTCATGAATCCTGACTTTTTGGAGCACCTCCTGCATCCCGTCCTGAACTGCACGTCTGGTCATTGAATTCCACAACAGCAATATTTCTACGTAAGAGATAAAATAGAATAGAATTAAACTTTATTGTCATTGCACATGTCACAAATACAAATCAACAATATTCTCAGGATAACGTTCCTAAATGTGTCCGTTCATTGATGTGAAGAAGCAACGTTCTTCAATTTCTGTGCAATAAAGCATCTGATATTTGTGAAAGGTTTCCATCTTATTTTCAGACCTTAGGCAGAAAAAAAGGAGAAAGAAGCTTTTAATAAACAGGAAACATATTTATCATGAAGGTGCTTATTAACAGCTAAGTCCTCAAAATTGCACAATATTCACATACACACACCCACACACGCACACACATGCACACACGCACCACTCACATGCATATGCACGACCCTCATGAAGCTAAATACCCTTTTAAAACAAAAGGGTTATGCAAATATTTGGTTGGTTAATAAGCAATCAAGTGGATGGCTAAGACTGCAGCCTTACATGTAAAGTATGCAGATTATATCTGTGCTGAATAGGCCTTTCAGTATGGTGCTTGAGTCACCTTCCTGAGTGAAGTTGCATACTCTGGCTTCCTCCAAAAGTCAAAACAGTTTTTACTTCTCTCCATTTCACCATTTCAACTTGTTGAGGGTTTGGCTTTGACAGACCTTTGACAGACCTTTGACAGACCTTTGGCGTTGACATACCTTTGCCAGGTCTGTCAAAGCCAAACCCTTTACCTTTGCAAGTAAAGTAAAGCAATAAAAAGCATTATCGAATTGCAGTTGTAGCGTCTGGTTGCACATTAGGTCCCCAGTTTAGGATTGCAACACATTTAAAACAAAACCTTATGCTGAGAGTGATAAAAAAGCAAAGTATGAATTCTCAACAGAGCTTAAAGACAGTCAAAGCTATTGGGTAAAGGGTTGCCAAATATGGTAAGTGTGTGTTTGTAGAGAAGACTGCTTATAACTAAGAACAGTTTAGAGGCAATAAGCCAAATATGGGAAACTGTGTGAACACCTGATTTAAATGCACAAGGAAGGCTAGTGTGGCAGCAATTTGGCAGGATGTGTCCTAGACATTGATGCTGAGAACACCACCACCTTGGGAATAGTTTTAGAGTCTATATGTCTAACTTAACCAAAAAACAAACAAAAAAAACCCCCCACAACCATTAAAGAAAGACTCTCAGGTTTTTTTCATTCATAACAAGTCTGGTTAATATTGCATGTACACTTGAGTGTCTGTTTTGATAATAAATAAACAAACCTGCTCAAAAAAAAATCTGGACAATTCATTGATCAGGGACAAACTGAATGGGCTGAAACAAACACAGGACACTAATTAAGTACATTAATTATTTTATTTTCTTAATTAATCCAACTTATTAAATTGACATTTATTAGGAATGTCAATCATGGTAAGAAGAAACTGTCAAGTTTGAAGACATGTTTGGTAAATATGAATAAACTTTATTGTACCCATTAGTCGTTGTAGATCTTACTATGGGCGACTGACTGACACTTATGGAGACGTTCAAACTCACTGGAGAGACACACAAAGCTTTAGGTGTGTGAAAGCACACCAGAGGGTCACCAGAGTCACCACATCAGATAACATATCTGAAAGACCATATGTGTTGTGCAACAGGAATGATTACGCTGTGTTTATTTTAAGTAGTTGGAGCTTTAACAACGGTACTATTGATATACTGGATTTATCTGGATCATATTCTAATTTTACAAATGCTTTTGCTGACTTCATTACCAATGATCACAAGTTCCTAAAAACACATCTACTGCTAAGAGCATTATGCATATTTTGTTTTTATCTCTGGATCCGTGAAAAAAAAATTTCTATACTTACTTATCTTAAAACTAAATGTTTTCAAACCTTTAAAGCTTAAATTAAATTGAAGACATTGTGGTTTTTCCTTTACCATCAGAAGTTTTTGTTGACCTCATGTCAATATATATTCTGAAATTGCACATATGCACACAGATACACACACATGAACACGCAAACACACGCACCCACCCACGCATACACGTTTTTCTACTTTCACAAGGACTTTGCAGTGGCCTCCATTCATTTTCATTCATTTTTGTAGGTTATTCTAACACTTATGCTAAATCTAACCATAACCAGTGTGAACTCAATTCACACTTTAGTCCTGAACCTTATCCATAACCAGTCAGTCCCACAACGTAGCATGAGTTAGGAAAATGGTCGTTACAACGCATCAAATTCAAGGCCACACAAACACACACCATGCATGCATACACATCTTATTTAAGAACATGACACAAGCAAGTCTTCAAAGTCTTCAAGATTTTATTGCTTATTTCTTGAGAAAACACATGTTTCCATTAGTGTTTTTCTGATTAGTTTTTAGCAAGGGTCTGGTCGATCCAGCTGCGCACGTAGGCCATGTTGACATACACTCCTGGGATGTACACATTGCAGTCGATGGTGCCCCAAGACACAGTACCCACAAGAGACCACACACCTTTGCTTTCACACACCAGTGGGCCACCAGTGTCACCCTGAAACAAGGCAAATAGTTTGCAATATTAACTTAAGATGGATGAACTTGCATTCATACATTATCTGTGTTCTGCCTTCTGTGAGCTCTGTGCAGGCTGATTTTCAAAACAGGAAAAAATGTAGCAATAGGACAGTTGGTGACTCTTATGATATACACAATCACACTCACATTTAAAGAGGATTTTTCACAAAGTTTTTAAAAGAGCATATTTAATTTCACATTTCACACATTACAAATGTATTTTAAAAACATATTATTCAGTAGTCATTTTAAGCTTGTATGTTTTTAACCATTGAATTGCACATTACCTGGCAGGAAGACATTTTAGAACCACCAGCACAGAACATGGCATCAGTGATCATTCTGTCACCCCAGAAAATTCTGCACTGAGCAGTGCTGAGCACAGGCAGAGCGGTCTGCTGCAGGTAACGAGCACTGCCTGAGAAGACAGAAAAAAAACCCCACAACCAATCCAAATCCATTACAGGGCTTTTTTTAATATAAGATTTTCCAGCTTTGATGCTTGTAAAACAATCCTGATTAGACATGTAAAGAGGCTCAACCACAGGATTCTGGTGTCCTCCCCCATCCAGTGGTGACACATTTGGTTCCAGAGGGGATTCTGCTCCAGGAGGAGACCAAGCACACTGGAGACACGCGGGAGTTGAACTCTGCTGGGGAGGAGAGCTTCAGAAGTTTGATGTCAAAGTTAAAGTTTCTTGAGTTGAAGGAAGGGTGGGTGATGACCTGTACATAGAGGTGAAGAAATGTCAAATTATTTTTTTAAAAAGTTGAAATATCTGTCACACAGATAAAAAGCTCATGTTTTAGAAAACAGATTTTTTTTTTTTTTTTGAATGATTGTCCTTACCTTAGAAATGGTCCTGATCTGAATGGGCTCGCTGTTGGACAGCCTATCGTGCTCACCCAGGATCACACGGAGGTATGGCGCCCTACCAAAATGAAACGCCATCTCATTAATTATTTACTTTTAGTAAACTCTTTTCAAATGTTTTCAATGGGACACATGCAGCGACTTACCACACTCGGCAACGAGCAGCTGTGACAACCCAGTCCTTGTTGATCAGTGATCCCCCACAGAAGTGAACCCCTCTTTTGTCCTAAGTTTGGAACAATGTCTCTTCAAGAGATTTTCTTTGCCTGAGGATTTTGTTTTTGCATGATTCAACAGAACTGGAGAATTTCAGAAGACTGAGCGACCTACCTGAAGAGAAACTTGCCAGGGCCAGGAACCGGACACTGCATCCTCGCCATTAATAATCTTGTTGTATCCACTCACCTTGGGCTTAATAGTAGGCACTCCACACCCTGAGGCCCAAAGATTAAATCCAACATCATTCTTGTTCCTAATTGCAATGGCTATGCTCAGTTACATTACAGTGTAATCAGTGCATATGTAGTCACAATCCAATTAAAATGTGAAATGTCAATAATTCTTAGGCAATGTTTTTACTGCAATTCTTTTATGGTTTGCCTGGAGATGAAAGCATGAAATGAACACTCACCCAGTGTGGAAGCCACCAGGGCAAAACAACTAACAAGCAAGAACATAACTGTGGCTCAACAAGTCTACCCTATCTGGTAACTTTGTGCTACACAAGCATTTATAGCTGCGTCCAACATGAATGACCCTGACTTTTGTGGGCAGCCATTAGTACAAACCCCATCAATGTTTCACCAGACCCCGCATGAGCAAACACCACCTGCCAATAAGCATCTTCAAAAATCTAAGGTCACACTTGAATTAGAAAAATTATTTGAGTTGGAAGAAGCACCAACATGGTTTTCCTTTGCTGTTGCTATTAAAAATGATTCAGTAAGTGAAGCTTGATGCATGCATGAAGAACAGACAA